GGGTTTAATCTGCAGCAATGCAAAAGAAGAGGAAGAAAACAAGATTAATCTGGAAATAACCATGACCTTGGGGAGAACAGTAATTATGGTGTAGAAGGGGTCTTAGCCAAAACCCATAGAGGTAAATAGTGATGAGGTGGTGGGTCAATGTTCTTGTCCACACCAGACAGCTGCTTCCAGCTGAAAGGAGGCAGGGATGTTGGTATCTTGAAGAGGCAGAAGGTGTGGGTTTCAAGGAGGGGTATGAGTGACAGAGAAGCAGGAATTTTTTCTGTGCTTTTATACTTTTCTTGGGCTCTTGACCAAGTCTTAAGGGGTTATAGAAGGCTTTTAGATATTTATGTGTTCATTTCTCGTACCAATGGCTTTGAGTTAAAACAAACCATCTTAGAAGTTTACTGTGACTTTAAGAGGTTCTACTAAGCCCCTTGGTCAGGTGCCTTCAGAAGTTTTGGTTACATAACAGCTGCTCTGAATTGGAATTCTGCAGCCTCATGAACTGGAGCCTCATTCTCTCCCTCCTCCTCCCGGCACTTTATTTTCTGTGGGTCAGAGTTAGCTTCTCTCTAACCATTGTTGCGGAACTCTTTAAATATTTGGTCTCACAGGTTCTAAAAGCTGGCAGGCCAAGCTGCTCCCTGCAGGTTGTGAGCCATCCAGAAAAGGAGCCAGTAAAATCCCAAGCATGTTAACAAGAGTATAACAGCTGGATGGCGCACTGCCCCTGTCCCCCCAACCCCGCCTCATGGGGCTGGGCTCTCAAGTGCTGAGGCCAGCAGCTCTTAGCTGCCACAGCCCACAACCAGAAGGAGCCCTCATGCACCAAATCTTGGCCTATTCGTAATCATGGCGATGACAACGGATTAAATCACTGGCTCTTAGCGCTAAAGACTGGGGTTTGTCAGGGTCACTCACTGTCCCTTGCTTCTCCCAGTTTTACACAGTGTGAGCACCAGTTTGGAATCCACTGCTGCAATATGGTTCCTTGTTAGGAGCCTCTTAGTTTACTTCTGTCTGGAAGCTGGTTCTCTTAGTGGTTTACGCATGTGTCTCTTTCTTCCAATATCCCCTCAATACATGATTTTGAAATGCTGTTCATATGTATTTGTTTATATGCTGCTTTCCCCCCCCCCAAAAAAAAAGGCTTCAGGCCATTTGCAAATATTACATATCATGCAGTGGCTTTCTTAAAATTAGGAAATGGGGCAAAAGACATCTTTGAGTAGGATCATTAGGTAAAAGTTGGTTCATAAAGTTCAACCTACAAGTGATATCTTCTTGAGGCAAGTTATGAGTGTCTTTCTGAGTTTTCCAGTAGCCAGAGCAAAAATAAACTTAAGGACAAAATTCATACATCTGTAAGATGTAGGCCGTCCACTTAGGAGAAGAGTTTCCTTGCATTGTGCCAGCTTGCCCCGTAAGTGCTCATGGAAAAGCACCAGGTGATCAGATGTTCCTTGCTTTCGTGAGCTTTCCTGCAGTAGGTGGCATAACCACTTAGTTGGCGTCCTTTGGTGTCCGTTGGGGTAGACATGGTGGCAAAGCCAGTGTATGTCCCAATGCAGACCATTGCTTCTCTAGGGGTGAACATTGCTTCATTCAGGGAGATGCTGTGCTGCAGAAAAGTGCAGGGGGGGCAAAATGGGTCTGTCAAGAACTACTGACATCAGCATTTGGGGCTCTGTGAAGTCTTGTAATTAGAAATAGGCCTAGCATGTCCCAAACTGCTTGAATGACAAGACCATTTTTAATAAATTAAAAGATGTATCTGGCTATTTGGAAACCTTGATCTAAAACAGGACCCAGCAAACTTTATATTAAGGGCCACATATTATTATATTTTTTTTTTGGAGGGGGTGCTGGGTATTTAATCCAGGGTCTTGAGTATGTTACACACTTTCTATACTTGGGAGCTACATCCCCAGACTCCTACACGGTAAATGTTTTAGGCATTTTATCTCCATCAACTCTGCTATTATATCAAAAAAGCATGGCTGTGTTCTAATCAACCTTTATTTATGGATACTGAATTTTGATTTTATACAGTTTTCATGTGTCACAAAATAGTATTTTGATTTTTTTAAACCACATAAAAATGCAAAAGCTGAACTTAGCTCAAAAGCCTTTGAAAAACAGAGCCAGATATGATGGTGTGTACCAAATGAAAACAAAAATTTTAAGGTGATAGATCTTATAATGCTAAGTGAAGTTAGCCAATCCCAAAAAAAATCCTACCTATTCAGGGATGAAACTCAGTGGTGTCAGAGTATTCACCTATTATGCCCTGGATTCAGTCCCCAGTACCACATTCCCCACCCTCCAAAAAAATAAAGCAAGAAGAAGAAGACGACAATGACAGGTTAAATCTGGTCTACGAACTGTGGTGTGCCACCCCACAATCAAGCGTAGTGTCTGGATGGCACATCTGTGTAGCAAGCAAGTTTTCCCGAGTACTGTTCGTTAAAGTCAGGGTTTTTGTGTGTGTGTGTAATTTTTGTTAGTTATTGATGGACCTTTATTTGTTTATTTATTTATATGTGGTGCTGAGAATCAAACCCAGTGCCTCACACATGCTAGGCAAGTGCTCTACCACTGAGCCATAACCTCAGCCCCTCAAGGTCAGTTTTAATTTTGACTTTTATCTTTCTAGTTTAAAAGCAGATAAAAAAACAAAAGTCGTAGAGAATTGCTGGTCAGATATTTTCCTCAGAAAACAGTTGGGGTAGGGGTGCCAAATGCTTTAATAAGCAATATTAATATTAATATTAAGAGTGCCAAATGCTTTAATAAGCAATATTATGTTTCTGATGCACAGGTTTTTTTTTTTTTTTTGATTAGGGAAGATTATCTACAGTGTTAATTTTCTCCAAAAGGAATACTTAATTGCAGTAATTTTTTAAATATGAAAAAGCATAAAGGGAAAAATTAATCCATAGTTCTAGCATCCATTGATTAATGCTATGAACATTTTAACACATATATTTTTACTTTCCTCAGTTCAAAAATCACATTTTAAAACTATTTTAAAATTAACAATTAGTATACTTGACCTTTATTTCGCTTTTAAGTTTTAAGATGATAGACCTTATAATGCTAAGTAAAGTTAGCCAATCCAAAAAAAAAACAAATGCTGAATGTTTTCTCTGTTATAAGAAGGCTGATTCATAGTGGGGTAGGGAGGGGGAACATGGGAGGAATAGACGAACTCTAGATAGGGGAGAGGGATGAGAGAGGAAGGGAGGGGGCAGGGAGTCAGCAAGGATGGTGGAATGTGATGGACATCATTATCCCAAGTACACCTATGAAGACACAAATTGGTGTAAACATACTTTATATACAACCAGAGATATGAAAAATTTTACTGTATATGTGTAATAGGAATTGTAATGCATTTTGCTGTCGTTTTTTTTTAAGAAATCAATTAAAATTTTTTTAAAAAGATGATAGATCTTAGACACCACAAGCAAGATCAGCAAGGTTCTACCCCACTGCACAGGCACCCCAAAGGCAGGCCCTGGCAGCCACTGACCTGCTCTCTTGTCACTATAATTTTTCAAGTTCCATTCAAGCTGTGGCATGTGTGAGTAGTTTTCTTCATTTTCGTTGCTAGGTTCTCTTCCTTGTGGAAGTTTGGTTATATATATTACAGTTTGGTTATATATTTGCCATTTACAATTCCATCCTTTTCAACTTCAACATTTCTTTTTCCTGTACTTACTTAAAATCAGTGTCTATATTTAATGTGGTGGGGTTTTTATTTCCCCAGAAAGGTATCACTGAATTGTTGGTGTGTTTTATAATTAATGCTGTCTTAGACTTGAGGGTTTGTGGTGGTGAGAGGGGCAGTGTAGGCATCAAGTGGGCCTTGAGGGAGATGAGGAGAAAGGGTGGTGGTTTTTTTTAAAGGCCCTGAGAGCTTAGCAGGCTGCACTGGAGCAGCTTGGAAGCCTTGGAGAGCTTTGGGGAAGTTTTGAACAGAACTCCAGGAGAAAACTTATCTAGCTGGTCAATATCAGCAGGGCAGTGAATCAGGAGATAGGGCTTTCAGTGACAGTCAAGATGAAGGGGAAGAGCTTGGGATGAGGCCATAGAAGCAGAGGGTGCTGCAGTGCAATGCAGGGGCAGTACGGGGTTACTGCAGAACATCCCAATTTCCAGGCAGAACTTGGACAGAGAACTGAGGACATCCGCTGCCAGCATCTTTAGGTATTTACAGGCTGGAAATTGATGGTTTGAGTGGGGTGCATTGTGTGGGAAACTGTGAAACAGTATAAGAATGTCCTGGCACTGCACACATTAGGCATGAGATGTGTGTAAGGTAGTGTGAGGATAAATGGACACAGGCTGTGTTTGAGGATGAGCTTGGGTAAAGTACTTGACTGTTCATGAACACATCCTCCGATTTTGGCTGTTTCCAAGTAATATTGTGTTATAGTTAACTAAATTAAACACCCAAAGCATTTTACAGAAACTATTCTTGGGTCTTTCTCACCCATCACCCCCACCTGTGTCACAAGTCAGGTAACTTACTCTTTGGCACACCCATTTGGTCAAGATAGGAAAAGGAGAGTAAACCATGTCAAACAGATTATTGAAGAAAAGGTTCCCATCAGCCCTGATGAAGGGAAGGCCAAATAAGAGTTGACCATCAGAGAGTAACTTAGCAAAGGATCTGCCCTTTTGCCAAGGACCCTTCTTGGAAAGCACCTTTCATGGAAGCAGCCTCCCTTCACCTGCTCACATGTATTCTCACCCAGGGTAGAGGAGAATTCAGTGCCAGTTCCCAAACAGAAGGGGAAAGTGCTCACCCATTTCTCTCTCCTCAGTTTCACGTTTTAGTCTCAAATTTCTCCCTTCTCAGAGAGAGATGATAGAAACTCCTCTTTGCTCTACATAACAGAGCATCTGTGCAAAACAAACTGTTCTTAATTCTGTACTATAGTGAAGAAGAGTTTCTATTATTTGTGCCATTACTAATTATATCTTAAAATTTTTCCTAGAAAAGACTGCATCTTCACCATTGACCCATCAACTGCCCGAGACCTCGATGATGCCCTCTCCTGTAGGCCACTGGCTGATGGTAGGATGGAAGTTTCTATAACATTCTGGGTAGCAGGCAGTCTGCATACCTGTGTTCTCCAGGCAGCAGAACATGCAAGGTCGGGGTTATTTTCTTCCTGAACTTTCCCTGGGCCTCTGAGCCTACACAGCTGTGTGACCTTAAGATTGTGTTCCTATGGTGACTTTGGTGAGGGTGAGAATGAGAAATGGCTTCTCACCGGGGCTTCTTGGGCCTTAGAAGAGGCAACAGTGAGTGCCTTGGCCCTTCAGGAAGTTACAGTCCGGGTGTAAGGAGTTCCATAAAGAAAGCCCCTGCAGCTCTGTTCAGAGAGACTGAGGGCCCTGTAGTGCACAGGGAGTTTGAAGGGGTCCTCTCCCAAGACACTGCACTGTGGTTAGCAGGAGTATCTTCCTGAGTAATGCCTGTCCAGGCCTGAGCTGCTTACTCTCGCTAGGTCTTCCCTGCTCCTGCTGTCCAGCTGATTGCAATAGGCAAACAGTTAGGGGCTCTTCAAACATTCTTTTGGAATGTTGTTAAGAAGCAGCAGGATTGAGGACAGTAGTCTTTGTAAATGATAACAGAGGAAGCAGGGCACCTGACTCTTAGAGGGGGAGAGTGCAGGCTAATAGGGGGTAAGCCCCCTCAATTCCCTTCCTCATGCCCCTAGATGTGCTGCTGGCAGTCTCTTACTGTTTCCTGCTTCTCTAGAATGGGTCTGGCTGACGACTGTGGCTTTGGTCACTCTGAGAGATGGCCTGGGCCCTAATGTAGCCTTTGACGGCTTGCCCATGGTGGCTGTCCAGCCCTCCTGTCTTCAGTCTGCCACAGAGCATTGAACACTATAGAGTGCTCACATCTCGTCCAACACGAACCTCCATTGGGTCTGTGTGAGACCCTTCTCTGCTATAAAAGGCAATGAAGCTCAGTAGTGGAAGGTTGAGAGAAAGAAAACACCACTGCCTAAAATGTGTTTATCTTCTTGTAGTCAAAATCCCCCTTGAACCTGTGGCTCAATGTTTTCAATTAAAGAAAATTGAAAGGAAGATAAAGCTTAAAAATTCCCATGTAAATTTTAGAGAAATTACATATGTTTGCAATCCAAAATCAGAGCAGCATATTCACAAAAGCAAATGGAGACTTGATTTCTTATATTCTGAGCAATGTCTTTTGCATGCAACGTCTTGGGCAGGCCCACTTTCTATAGACTCCACTTCCCGGAGCCTCACTGTAAAAAGCGCCCCAGGCAGAAGGCTTGGAAGGCTTCCCTCCTGGGTCACAGCTCTGCTTTGGTAATAGTCTCATACTTGAAAGTAGTTGATTTGTTTATTCTGTCCAATTTTATAATTGTTAATGGCAGAAGTTTAATACCTGTTTTCCCATCTCTGCTGTCCTGGAACCCTTGACCTTGCAGGGGATACCAGGGAGCTGGCTTATACCCTGCCCCACCCACTCTGCACACCACAGCTTCATGTAGAGGGATCAGTGTGGCAGCAGAATCTTTTTGGAGGAAAGTGCAAAAGATAGGGCAGGAATGGGCTAGGATTGTAGCCATAGTGGAAGAGCTCTTGCCTAGCACATGTGAGGCCCTGGGTTTGATCCTCAGCACCATATAAAAATAAATAAATAATTGTTTCCAAAATACAATAAATAATGACAGGAAAGGTAAATTGGGGGCACATTTGCAAACCAAAGAACTTTCTTTCTTTATCAGACAGTGGAAAGCCACATAGATGTTGTTTAGCAAGAGTTCAGTAAAAATGAAGAAAATAATTTAGCAGTGCAAAATGAAAGAAAAGGGAAGGAGGAAGAGTCAGCGAAGCAAATCAGTAAGCAAATCATACTGCCATCCTCCAGAGGAGGAAGACCTAGCTGGAGATGCACTCGCAATCCTCAGGAGGTAGGTGGACAGATGTGAGGAGAGATAATGACAGACGCCCATGGGCCTGGATTTTGGAGCTGAGGAAAGGAGCCAAGGTGGCATCAAGGTCTCAGCCAATGTGACAGGAGTTGGAGCCCACGAGTGGAAATTGGCCTGTGAGGAGCACACGCAGGTGTGGGAGGGTATATTGTTCGGAGGTATCTATCTGAGGACACATATTTGTGCGTGTTGCTGCTGCGTGTCCTTTCTAGAGTCGGCGGGCTAAGCAGATGCAGGCGGCCCTGAGGAAAAGTAAGCAAACAGTAATTTTATTAGGATGATGGGATCCTAAGTGATTTTTCTCTACTTTCCAAATTTTTGTAATGTGGTAATAATAGTTTTATAATGAAAAAATTTTGTAATAAAAAAAAATATGAGGTGCCAGAAATCACAGGCTGCCCAGTAGCCCACTGCACCAGGTGATCAGACACCTTCCATCTGCTCAGCGTCCCACATTCCAGAGGGGCAGTTGACATCTGTTCACTTGGCAAGGCCACTGTAAAGGACATGGGAAAGGAGCCAGGGAAGACTCGGGAAAAGCCTCAGGTGGCCAGTCAAGCGTTTTTATGGTGGCACTTATACAGTTGGCCTTTGTGACAGCAGTTTCTGCCAGGGCCATTTATCCAGGGAGATGAAAAGTGAAAAGTCAATTCCAGTTTGGATTAGGGTAAGGTTGGCTAAGTTTGGTTTCCGTTAGTTACCAGTTTATGTCAATTCTTGCTTAGAGGAAAATGTTCAGTGTTTGAAAAAGAAAGTAATGTTTTCTGGGCATACTTATATCATCTACAGCCATGCTTATTTAAAGAAATACCATATAAAAGCTCTACTTTTCTTTGGTCCTGTTGAAGTCATCAAAGTGACTATGTTGTGAAAAATGAAATGCACAGACATGCAGAGTATACCTAGTCTTCATTCTCCTTTTCCATGGAGTTCAGATGTATTCCCAGGACTTTAACATTATCTCTTATCAAGTGCAAGATGTGGATGATCAATTCCAAAAAATGCAATGGCCTACTTGTTCTCCAGTGTTCACCAGTACATCACAATTAGCTTGAAGGCCAAGGAGCGGGTGCTACCAACGCTTTGAAAGGAATTCTGCCAGTCCCTGACCTGTGATTCTTGCCCCCTTTTCAGCCTATAAATACCCTTGAGGGGAATAAATACTACCATGAGCATTATCCAGCAATGTGGAATATTTCATTTTTGCTCAAAGAAAATATTTAGTAATAAGAGTTGTGTTACAATGATAACCTAAAATCTAAGACAGTAAATCCCACAGTTCAGTGTTTTATGATTTTAACAGATCACTTGCAACACACCTCACGGTTGACCTCACCCCTCAAGTGTGGGAATGCCACAGTTGTCAGATCACCCTCTGTTTTTTGAATTACCTCCATAGCATTTACTTATTGAATATCCAGATTGCATTTGAACTTTCTACCTTAAAGGCAAACCATTCTGCCTTGAGGTTTCTTAGGAAACCTTTCCCTGTGATGATCTGAAATACTGCTGTCTTCCTGTAATTTTTCACCCATTAGTCCCAAGTGTGGTCATCAGGCAGTCCCTATAGAACAAATCTAGTATCTCATATAAAAACCCTTCAAATACTAGAAAACTGGTATCTTATATCTTCTGAACTATAGCTTCTCAGCTAAATATCCTAAATATTCTTGCATGTCTTGTAGCTCCTGAAGTGTGAGTCCATTCCCCATGTCATGGATTCACTCTTGCCTTTATGAAGTCTTAAGCACATCGAGGCCTACAGGCTCTAGCCTAAACAGTTCCTCCTTGTTGGTCAGAATCGGGGCTAGGGTAATAGCTACTTTTTGATCAGTTCTTTCACTCCTTTGACCAAAATACCTGACAAGAATGATTTTAGAGGAGAAAAAGGTTATTTGCAGCTCAGGGTTTCAGAGGTCTTAGTCCTTAGACAGCTAACTCCATTACTCTGGATCCAAGGAACAGCAGAACATCATGATGGAAGAGTGTGGTGGAGGAAAGTGGCTCAGAACATGGGCACCAGGAAGCAGAGAGTTCTGCTCTCCAGGGTAAAAATATGTAACTCCCCAGTAGGCCTTCAGTTAATTCATTCCACTGGATTAATGACCTGATGAGGTCAAGGCTCTCATAACCCAGTCATTTCCCCTCTAAACTTTCTTGCATTATCTCACATTTGGGGAACACCTCATATCTAAACCATAACAGCTACCCATTCTGTTCAGTTAAACAAGTATTTTTGCTTTGCTGTAGTCTCATAGAGGAAGTTGTCAGCTACACAAGTCAAGACCTTCATTCAGCTTTTGGTTGGTTCAGACCCCCAACGATCCTACAGGAAATTGAAGTCTACTTCTCCTGCATCTTGCTTCTCTGATGTTTTGTTCTCTAGTGTGTGCTGTGCCACTGAACACAGAAGGGTAATCCTGGCTAGGCCTCAGGTATGAGTGAGTGGCAAGGGTGAGTAGCTGCTAATGGGCTGGGTTTCTGTTTGAGGTGATGAAAATGTTCTGGGATTAGATAGTTGATAGTTGCATGTTTTATGAGTATGCTAAAAACTACCAAGTAAATGACTGATGAATGAATGAGAAGAAAATGAATAATCTGAATCCACTCATCCTTAAGGCTTAGAGTTTACAGCTAACCCACTGTTTGTCAGGGTCTTGATAGCATGCCTATCTGGGTATCTATAGCCACATCCCTCTTGCCTGCCTCTCTTCTGACTGCTTTCTTCTCTGGACCATGAAATCCTACTCCAGGGTGCACAGCCCTCTGTCCACCTGTCTTTGCACACTTCCCATTCCTACAGAGCGCAGTCATCTGAATCAAGAAAAGAAGGCGCATCCTCCCACCTGCATAGGAGATAGTGCCTGGCGCTCACCCCAAGGACAGCCCCAGCTATGCCAGCCACCCAGTGCCAGTGCCATTCCCTTGGCTCTGATTCCTCCTCTCACTGTGCAAATGGAAAGGCCCTTCCTTCTCCTGAACCTTCCCCAGCGCTGCCACAGCTCAGGGACCTGCTGCATCCTCTCCCCCGACCTTGAAGGAGCAGTGTGTACCCTGCTGCTATTTCTCCTACAGTCTGCTTATTCCTTACTCCCTACGC